TTAAATAAGCTTCCAATTAAATTTTCAATTTTCTATATCATGTCTCTATTACTTTACTCAATTTCCGCTTTATAAACAAAAATTTGTAGAATTACATGTTTATAAAAGGTCAATTATGAATTTATATCTGTATCATCAAACAAATTACTAACTGCCATTCATAGTTTGAAGAGCACGCCTATTAACATTTGATATTGAATGTAATTTAGGCCAATTCACTTGTGTAGCCTACGTATGGCACAGACTCTGTGAAGGCGAACAGATACCTCGAGGGAAAGTTGGAAAGAACTTTGAATATACATCTGGATGTTAGGTTTATTTGGTAAATACAATCGATACAATTCAGACTAAGAGTGATTCTGGTCAACAAAATTTTACATTTGTGTTTTTAATATTAAGATTTGCTACCCATGGTAAAACTAACTTTGGCACAATTAAGAAAGCTATGCTAGACCACACCACTGCGTATAATATTTAAAATTATATTCTTATATAAGAAGATACATTTCTTTTATTTAATTGTTTTAGTTTTATGTACGGGACTTAATGACAATCGCTATATATCTAGTTGAACTACATGAAGTAGGTTTTTTTAAAAAGAGAGACCACACCAGTCTGATCTAGTATCGAATTGTGTCACTCATCGAATCTTCTCTTTAACCTGTCTTTAAAGGATATTGATGAATTCGTAGGTTACAAACTTACCATGTCTTCACCTCGTTTTGACCTGATATTAACTTCCGTTAATCATCTCCGCACTAAATATATTTACTCTATTACACTGGATAAAACTAATTTGTTCGATTGAAAACCAGACGATAGATTAAATAACGCACCATTTATTATAGAGTATAGTGGTTGAACTGTCGGCTGGTAAATTGGAAAGGTTGGGTTTTATTAACTGGAATCATTTACTCTATATCTTGGGTTGATTGAGGATGAATAAACGATAAATACTTTTACGAATGAATGAACGAATGATTTTCAATTCTGGAAGTTAACCTCCCCACACAGGTTGAACATAGAACTACAGAGTAGTGGGACGTAAATCTTTCACCCATTGTATAATTCAAAGTGCAAGGCACTCGGCCATATGATATAGGCCTATATCCATATCTGCCCAACAGTGAGCTGAAGACCATTTTCGTCGTTATGCAAGAAATGGCAATAGCCATACATGTGTAGAGCGTCTACAAATAGTCTTGGTCATTTCAATTCACAATGGTTATTGTGGATAAATAATGACCAAGTTGGTTGGATAATTGCCATCCAGGGACCATAACTACAAAACAATGGACTGCATACTGGCTGCATAATGAGAACGAGTAGTTGAAAGTGATTTAAAACGATGGATTTGCTAGAACAAAGTAGAATTTGTAAGCACGTAATTAGATGATAATCAAAACGTCAAGATGCAAAATTTCTTTTGAAAAAGAACACAATTACAAACGTTTTTGAAAACGTTTCTCTTAAACAACATGACATACAAAATGTCCAATATCAGGATCTCTAGTTAGATTATTAGATTCCCGAAAGTGCATAATCCGGAGCATCCTTGATTCTGTACACAGGCCTTAGGAGATCAGAAGAACATCATCAATCATACGGCTTGTCAATATGTAATATAGAATATTAAACACTTGGTACAGTGTACATGTTTCTCTGGTCGATATTACTGCTTGTAGTAGAGAGACTGTCTGATTGACTAGATTGTACCATTGAACGTTAAATGTACAAGGTTATAAATTAATAGTATATCTAACAGGTCATTATAGGAAATTGTTAGCCAACAGATTTTGACAGCGTCGAATTGAGCAGCTTTAAGCTCTGGAAACCATGGGTTTTCCCGAGGGATCCGACTCTACCTATAGGCCCTACTCGATTTTCTGGTCGGATTTAGACTAATTTATGTACTTCCGAAATTCTCTATATCCAACTTCAGTTTCAATTACCAAACATTGACAGCCGTCATTTTTTGATAAAATTACAAATTCTATTAGAACATTCTGTATAAAACCAGGGGATCCCCGAAACACCAGTAAATGGAAGTATCATAAACAGCGTTTGAGAAGAATTTAAGGGAAGAAAGACATGGCTAGCTTTTGGAAACACATATTTATCACTGTGGCTTATGGTGTCAATTGATCGAAAAGAATCTGGTGTCGAATTAGGCTGACGCTTTGAAGGAGGGAACTAATATTCAACATTTCATTGAAATGGTCATGCGAAATTCGTCTTCTGCCTTGACTGGCATAATCACCTTCCTTGTATTAAAGAATGCAGCGATTTGATTGGATTTTACGCCATCGAATACAGTCAATCATAGCCTTCGAAAGAAAGACTGTAAACATTATGGCACATTTTCTCCATATTATTTCTATTTGAAAGAATTCAGTAAAGCAGTTAGGGCTTCGTCCCTTATTTTTTGGCCGATGATTTTAAGGCCGACCAGTGGCTATGTACAAAGAAAAGAATTGAATTATGAATAACAATATTATGACAAAAAAACGATATTTTCTATTCAATAGAATCTCTCATAGTACATTATTTCATTAGAATGTCATATCTTGGGATAAAGACGGTGTATTCAGACACGTAAATATTTCAAAAATTCCGATATAATAGCTTATTCCAATTCCATCATAAAATCCGCCCCAAACCATTAGGCCTACTGTTCACTGTGCTAAAATTGGCCATGTTGGTGCTTTGTCTTTGATTGGCTAGTCCGCCATGTTGGATATCTGTTACTGGCCAGATTTTAGAAATTAGAGGAATAAAAAGCATTTCACCACGTATTACACCTTAAGATGTTAGAGTGACATCTCAAGACCTCACTGGCACCCAAAATTTCATTCATATTTGCATAGGAGACCATCGGAAGAAATTGGCAATTTTTTTTTTAACTGGCCAGTAACTCAATTAGACATGAAAATACCATTATGTTGGAATTTTTGCGATATTCACAGTTCTGAAGGCAGCATGTGGGTGGACATCTGCCAATTCCATCATAAAATCTGCCCCACTCCCATTACTGTTGACTGCGCAAAAATTGGCAAATGTAGGGGCTTCTTCTTTGACTGACCAGTCCGCCATATTGGATATTCGTTACTGGCCAGATTCTAGAAACTATAGGAATAAAAAGCATATCTGTCATTGGCCAGAATTTAGAAATTATAGGAATAAAAAGTACCATAAAAATACCATTATGTTGGAATTTTGGCGATATTCACAGGTCTGAAGGCACCATGTGCGTTAATTTCTGTCAATTCCATCAACAAATCTGCCCCCACCCACATTAATGTGGACTTGTAAACTTTGACCATGTATGGGCTTCGTCTTTTAGTGGTCAGTCCGCCTATCCACCTATCCGTCACTACTGGCCAATCAAATTTTGATAACATTGTAATGATTCTATTCAATTTATTACTTTTAGACGTTTTATTTGAATAACAAATGAATTACAAATTTTTGTTTTTTGATTTAATTACAAAAATTACAATCAATCCAAAAAATTAGTGTATTTATCGGCCACAAAAATTGACCGGCCACCGAAGCAATGACAAAGTGTCAATTGGAAATATTCTGGTGTTTCAGATTGGTGCAAATATTTTAGTTCGTCATCTGATTGTATGTCAATAATGTTAATAAAGTCCAACAAGTGAGGCATTTGGACAAAACTGACCATTCCATGGACCCAGCGGCTTGACAATAAATGGATTCCTTACCATCATAAGTAGTGCATCGCTATTTAAAACCTTCAAATCGCTGATCAAATTCAAGGATGAAGTCTGCAATGAACCTTTGCTCTGAATGTAGGATCCTGTGACTTTCAACTTTGGCTCGTTATTTTCCGTATATTTTTGAATTATATTTTTTTTCATTGTTATAATGTTTTTTTGTAGTAATGTCCGCGGGTCACTCTTGAGAAGGCCTGATGTAGCACGACAAATTTGACCTACCTGTTCCGCTGACGTGGTAAACGGATGGGATATCGGCAGCGCCTGATTTTATATCGATATATCTACAACCCGCCAAAATACGGAATACTTGATCCTATCATCTAATTGCTGTTGACCTTAGCTGATTAAGAGTGGTTCGAATCTTGACTTAAGAAGAGTGACTACAAGAATACGAAAGTGTTTGTCCATGGTCTTCAAGATTTGAGTTGTACTTCACTTTCACTACATCTACTTCAATATTTAAATTTTCGTCTGCCCGATACAAAAATTTTTTCATTGGTTAAATCATTTTTTATCAGACAAGAAGGGACCCATATCGAACACTTCACTCTATTACAGAGATGTTGTGCAAAGTTGCAGTTGAAAAGCCATATCATCTGTTGGGGGGCGTGCAGATAATCTTTCAGCCCATCATTTTGACATACGTGGCTACTTGAGTATCTCTTGTATCTCTTGGTAGAATTAATACAAAACCTCTTTAGACTTGATAATCTAGACCAGACAGACTTCATAATAAAGGGGATTACAATAATCAAGATATCTCCAATTAATTTGTTACAAAATGGCACCTGGGGATTGGTATTTCTGAAACGGTTTAATCTCGAAGGATGGAATCCTTTTGGCCCTTTTGGGTTTATTCCTTGGCCTTTTGGTGAACATAGCAGAAGTGTTGTGGAGTGAAAGCCTGAACAATGGGATAGATATTACGAATTAAACATCGAAAAAGCAAAGAGATGATTTTGTGGAAAAGTCGGACAAATACATTTGTAAACTTTCAGAGACGGTTACAGTCAGTACACCTTATTATATGAAAGTAGGTCGTTACTAAAAATACCACCACACTACTGTGTCTATTGATATGATTCATAATATCTATCCCTTTGTTCTGGTGAGATGTTTAATTCATTATATCTATCCCATTGTTCTGGTGAGATGTTTAATTCATTATATTTATCCCATTGTTCTGGTGAGATGTTTTATCCCATTGTTCTGGTGAGATGTTTAATTCATTATATCTATCCCATTGTTCTGGTGAGATGTTTAATTCATTATATCTATCCCATTGTTCTGGTGAGATGTTTTATCCCATTGTTCTGGTGAGATGTTTAATTCATTATATCTATCCCATTGTTCTGGTGGGATGTTTAATTCATAATATCTATCCCATTGTTCTGGTGAGATGTTTAATTCGTAATATCTATCCCATTGTTCTGGCGTGATGTTTAATTCGTAATATCTATCGCATTGTTCTGGTAGGATGTTTAATTCGTAATATCTATCCCATTGTTCTGGTAGGATGTTTAATTCATTATAACTATCCCATTGTTCTGGTGGGATGTTCAATTCATAATATCTATTCCATTGTTCTGGCGGAATGTTTAATTCGTAATATCTATCCCATTGTTCTGGTGAGATGTTTAATTCATTATATCTATCCCATTCTTCTGGTGGGATGTTTAATACATAATATCTATCCCATTCTTCTGGCGGGATGTTTAATTCGTAATATCTATCCCGTTGTTCTGGTTTAATTCATTATATCTATCCCACTGTTCTGGTGGGATGTTTAATTCATAATATCTATCACATTGTTTTGGTGGGATGTTTAATTCATAATATCTATCCCATTGTTCTGGTGGGATGTTAAATTCATAATATCTATCCCATTGTTCTGGCGGGATGTTTAATTCATAATATCTATCCCGTTGTTCTGGTGAGATGTTTAATTCATTATATCTATCCCATTATTCTGGTGAGATGTTTAATTCATTATATCTATCCCATTGTTCTGGTGAGATGTTTAATTCATTATATCTATCCCATTGTTCTGGGTGTTTAATTCATAATATCTATCCCATTGTACTGGTGGGATGTTATGTCTCTTAATTTCCCGGTCATAGTATCTATAATAGTATCAGAAACTTTTAAATATCATAAATTCCCCCATTACCAAACAAAATTAGTGTCGACTTCTAGTGTCTTGGTTGATTATAATCAAGATATCTCATCTCGTTTGTAGCCTACTAGTCTTTTTTTAAAATGTTCTAAAAAAAACTTTCTCTCCCCCATGATCATATTTGATACCGGAAATTAGCTTTTGAAGATTTCATGATAGGCCAACAAACTGGAGAACCACATTTATATTTTGAAAACTTCTCTGATATTGGAATTCTTGAAGTACAATATTTGTGTAAGAATTCTTTTGATTTTAAATATTACAACATGAAAGTATTCTGGATACAAAAAAAGCTTTGAAAGAACGTGACCAAGAGAAAAAAGGGCGATAAATGATCGATTTCCGGAGTAGATTGTGATTTTTAAACAATATTTTACTTTAGAATCCTAGTATAACAGTTACCAGTTCAATTTATTGTGAACACGATAAAGAGCTGATTCCTTTATGGATTTTGACAAAACTTGGTATGAGTGGTCGTAATCACCTAAGGATGAACCCTACTAGACAAATCGAATAAGATTTGATGTGAGTTCTTGCCCTTGTTCTTAAAAACGCGTTCAATTTTTATTTGAAAATGTGTTGTGGTCACAATAGATAGCTGGTTTTTTGAGGGATTTTAATACAATTTGGTTTCATTGTTTGTTATCACCTAAGGATGAACCCTATCGAAAATCAGAAGAATCGAAAAATATTTAGTTTGAGTTATTGCCCTTGTTCTTGAAAACTCGTTCAAGTCTTAGTCTGTAAACACTCTAGAAGGTTCAATTCTTGATGGATTTTGACGAAAATTGATCATATTATACAGTATCGTTGTAAGACTGAAGGTTGAACATTTCATACTGTTAATTGTTACTATTAATACCAAATATTTTTATTTAAAATCAAAGCTGCCAGTGGGCGTATATTACCTTGTCTGGCAAGCTATCTTTTATCTCGTAAACACCCTCGATAAGAGGATTTTGACGAATCGCGGTGTGAGTGTTGTAAGGATAAACCCTTAAAATCAGAAAAAAATCGAAAAATATTTAATTTGAGTTATTGAACTTGATCTTGAATATGCGTTCCATTTTTAGCCCATAAACATTCTAGAAGACACAATTCTTGGCGGATTTTGACGAATATTGGTGTAAGTGTTTGTTATCTCCCAAGGATCAACCCTATTGAAAATCAGAAGAATCGATAAAGAATTAGTATGAGTTATTGCCCTTGTTCTTGAAAACACGTTTAGTTTTTAGCTTTTTATTAGCTGACTACATTAAAAATTAATTTCTTAATAAATATGTATTCAGATTACGGAAACTGCCGAATGCGCGATAGAGACTTTGGTGAAACTTGGTAGCGTTTGCAGTAGCCTTGGCCTACTGGCGACCGGCGATTTTGTTTAAGCCAAGGTTTATCACAATCAAAAAGACAGGAGTTTTGAATAATTGACCAGTGCCCGAGGTTTTCAGTTGTAATAAAACTATTTTCTCACAAAGCTTCGTTTTCCCTTAAGTAACGACTCGTTCAGTAGA